GTAGTCTAAGTTAGACATCCAATGTTTTTTGTCTTGTTGACTTTCTGTCCAATCTACCCATTGATAAAAGCGGGTGGGGACTATTATTTTATTACTGTCTATTTCTACCTTTAACATTTGCTCTACATATTTAGGTGTTCCTAATTTGGATGAATAAATATTTACAAGTGTACTTCGTTTGACCCCTTTGTCATTATACAGTGACTTTGTATAATTACTAGTCTTTGTTTTAAAGTATATTTTGTCGGGCAAGCATAGCTATGTCAACTTTTGGTTTCCATTTGTAACAGCTTCCTTCTCCTCATTCCTGAGCTTATGTGTGTCCTTAAAGCTGTAGTAGTTCCAGTAGGCAGCATAGTTGGGTCTTGTCTCCTATTTGTCCAGCTATTCTGTTTTGATTGGAGAATTCAATTCATTTACATTTAATTATTGGTAGGTAAGACATTACTAATACCATCTCATAATTGTTCTCTGGCTGTTTCATAGTTCTCTTGTTCTTTTCTTCCTCTCTTGCAGTCTTTCTTTGTGAGTTGTTCATTTTCTGTAGCTATTCACTTTAATTCCTTTTTTTTTTAAAGATTTTGAGAGAGAGAGCATGATCGAGCACGCTAACGCACAAACAGAGGGTGAGGGCAGAAGGAGAAGGAGAAGCAGAGTCCATCCTGAGCGGAGAGCCCAACGTGAGGCTTAATCTCAGGACCTTGAAATCACAACCCCAGCTGAAGGCAGATGCTTAACTGACTGAGCCACCCAGGTGCCTCAGTTCTCTTTGTGCATGTATTACAGGTTTTGCTGTGTAGTTATCATGAGTCTTACATGGAACATCTTTAAATCCATTAGTCTATTTTATGCTAACAATTTACTCTCCTACAAAAACTTTACTTCATTCTCCTTTTGTGTATCTGATGTCACAATTTGAATCTTTAGTATGAACAAATTACTGTAGTTATTTTACTACCTTTGTCTTTCAACTTTTATACTAGATTTATAAATGATGGACCCACCAGCATCACATTATTCAGAATCTATGTATTTATTTTGGTCAGTGAGATTGATACTTTTTCTTTTCTTTTCTTTTTTCTTTTTTTTTTATATTTTATTTGAGAGAGGGCACAGGCAGAGGGAGAAGCAGGCCCCATGTTGAGCAGAGAGCCTGATGTGGGGCTTGACCCCAGGATACTTGGATCAAGACCTGAGCAGAAGGCAGACACTTTACCAACTAAGCCACCCAAGCATCCCTCGATGTTTTGTATTTACTAATACCCTTTCATTTCAGCTTGAAGAAATCACTTTAACATTCCTTGTAAAGCTTGTTCATTGGTGATTAATTCCTTCAGCTTTTGCTTATCTGTAATACTCCCACTTTTAATTCTGAAGGATAATTTTGCTATGTATTCTTGGTTGGCAGTCACAAGTTCCCTCTTTGTTGTGGCACCTGCACTGGGGGATGGGGTTTATAAGACTGTGTCATTGCTGCTTCTGCCCAGTCCAGTGTGGGTTTTTCTCTCATTAACCTGATGGATAGGAATTGCTTGGCTACTAGTGTCTGGATTTCTCTTAGAGGGAATTGTTTTGTACATAGCTGTTGATTCAGTGTGTCCACGGGAGGAGGTGAGTTTAGGAGCTTCCTATCTCACCACTTTCTACTGGAACCAATTCCTCTTTTTTATTTGAGGATGTAAAATTTGAAATGTTTAGAATAGTAGTTATTCAATTAATATGGAACAATTTTTTGTGGACATTAGCACAGATCTTTCTGAATAGGCTTTTGATCTGTATCCCCCCCCCCTTTTTTTTGAGAGAGAGAGAGAGAGCGAGAACAGTGAGAGAGCATAAGCAGGGAAGCAGCAGAGGGAGAGAGAAGCAGACTCCCTGCTGAACAGGGAGCCTGATGCGAGGCTCGATCTCAGGACCCTGAGATCATGACATGAGCTGAAGGCGGGTGCCCAACTGACTGAACCAACCAGGCACCCCCTGTATCTTTTTTAATAGGACAGCAGGTACTAAGGAATGCACTCAAGTGACCAGTGTAACCAGCTGATCAAGACGTTATACCGGCTGGCCTGGCATTAGCTTGCAGCCATAATTTGGGTTAATCACCTTTCACAAAATAGATCCAACTGTGAACAAGGGGACTGGGTGACAGTACAAGAAACTAAGTGCAAATTTAGTGTTAAATGTAAAAAAGACTAAAGTTGTGAATAACTAACACTTTGGTGTATGATCAGTAACACATTTCTACTTAGTCTGGTGACTAACTTAAATTCCCATTACTCTTACCGAAAATAAGCTATTCACCAGAAGAATTTAGGTGTCTTTAAAAGTTTCAGTTTATGTGTAAAGTAGCATACTCTAGAAAGATATTCTTCTCAGCCTCAGAATCAATTAGAGGAAACTACAAAAAATTTAAAATATATTTTGTTAACTTTGTACTATTTAATAGTCATAATGGACTGAATGTGTCTAATTTAAGACATATATCTGAGTTTGGCAGACCTATGGCCAAATTATACAAAAAATCTGTTTTAAAAGGGCTGAAAAATATTACTGCATTAAAGGCTTTCATATTCTAAGTATCTGGGTAAATGTGTCCCATAGGAAACAACACAGCAAATCTGATCATTGTACTTAAGAAAATTCCGCTTTGAATACTGTTAGAAAACAAAGCACAAATTTAAAGAAAACTTTTACAATATAAAAATAACTTCCTTTATCTTAATCATATACCTTAAGTAAAAAAGATATAAAAGATCTTAAATAAAATATGGCAAATTGGAATAGGTAAGCATCACTAACATCAAAAACACAAACTCCAAGTTATTTTATATAGCCACATATTTAAATGTATCTAATTTTCAAATACAATTGCCCGATAGAAAATGCTCCAGTCTGCTAGAAATGGTGTTGTGTTACCAAAGGTCAGCTGCACACAAAAATGGTGTTGCTGAGAGAAATGGCACATTTGACCTGGCACTCTTCAGGGGTGATCCACTGCACTTATATGGCTGTTAAAACTGTTAATTCTGCCAGCTGTTCTTGAGATACTCAATGACATTTGTGATTGCAGAAAATCGCCTCCTGATGGATATTGTAGGATATATATTATTTAATAGGACTTTCAGTAGCCTTGGCTTTAGAGCCAACTCCATAGGCACCAGGTTACAGGGTATATAATGCTTACTTTTTTTTTTTTTTTTTACTGCCTAAAATGTCCCTCAATAAGTTTGGAATTGTACTTATAGTTAGTAGTATAGGTACCCATAAACCTATGTATGGGTTCAGTGTCAGAACTGTGAATTACAGACACTTGGGAGAGAGGAACCATCCCTTAGATTCCTTCTACATATGCTTCAGTGTCCAGCACAGTGGTATTTGCATAATTGGTACATTAATTCAATAAACATTTACCAAGACTTCTTTATATCTTCCATTTTGGAATTATTGTGGAAAGCCAATTTTGAGATTTCCAGGCAGTGAAAATTTAACACATGAAAGGCACTTGCCATTACTGATCGTATTTCAAAAAGGTGGTATTAAAGTTAGAAGTGGCAACTGTTCTGTAACTGCCCACATATGTGAAGTGGAATCCAAGTGTAATAGGACTTAAAGGATTCAACTGAAGCAAAAATGGGAGAGTATGAATAGGATTAGACTAGAAAAAAAATTTTTTTTTGGTAGATATTGCAGTGATAAAATAATTATCTTCATGAGGAAATACTGGGAAGGAGATAAAGTGACATCAAAAAAATCTTCCAATATCATAGAGCATAATTCTAGTAAGTTTTTGGGGAAACTTTTTTTTTTTCTAATTTGCTGACCTCTTTCGATCAATTAGTTTTTAATACACTCTGAACTGTAACTAAACTACACATTACTGACATGTTTTGTTAAGATGCAAGGAAAATTCTAGATTCTTTTAGTCTGAACAACCAAGAAATGAAAACAGCCCATCCTTAGATTTATATACTTTTCTTATAAAAATAAGTTCAGTTATGCCAATATTTATCTGAAAATGACAGCATTCAACAGCAAACTAATAAATGGAATAACCACAGTGTCATTATGAGCTACAGTGAAACAAAACCGTAAAGTTACTTTTCCTATTTGAATAATAAATCAGACGAGTGAAAAAACCTCAACTGTGGGGGGAGGGGAAGAGGCAAATGTAAATAAAGGATCTGTATCAAAACAAAGTCCAGGAGACAAAAACCATAAATATTTAGAACAATACTTCAAAAGTCAATTACTATCGCAGGGTAAAACTTCTAAGAAAGCAATTCAGAAGATAAATAAACACATATGTTTAAAATCTAGAACTCTAAATACCTGATATACTTGATATACTTGGGCCCACTACAGAGCCCACTTACCAGCTACAAATACTGTTTTCCTCAGGTATTTCTAGAGGCTGTAGAAATCTACTGGGTTCATTTATTGTTACAAAAACTTTTCTCAATTGTGAAAAATTAAAATCAGTTCTTCAAACTTTAGAAAGAAAATGAAAAGTTGCTTCACTATAAAACACCATGAAAACAGAATATGTTTGCCACAATGGGAGTGTTTTTTTTTTTTTTTTTTTTAAAGGAAACAGAATCTGTTTCATCCCATTTCAGAACAGGTGACAAAAACTAAGTTACGTCTCTTCAGGCCAGCCACAAAACTTTAAGGAATAGAGACCAGTTTCGTACAACTTAGACACATATGTACATAACTCAACAGGCTCCTGTTTGTGCCAGCCAGTCTTAACATCATTTCCAGGGGTCAGTAATCTATAGCCCATGAACTGAATGTGGTTTGTGGTCTGTTTGTGTATGGCCCTGAGCTAAGAATGGTTTTTGCATTTCTTTAAAGGGCTGTAAACAAAACAAAAACAGAGTATGTGACAACTGTATATGGTTTACAAAGCCTAAAATCTTTACAATCTGGCCTTTTATAGAAAAAGTTTGCAGACCCTTCATTCATACCAGTGTTGTACAGAATTCAGACAGTGCAATTACAAGTCCAAGATAATGTTCATTTATTCCCACCAAGAATGTAGTAACATCCTAAAAAGATGTCTTCTGATGTCATTTGTTAGAATTCCTTCTCTTTTTTCATCTTCAACATCATTAAAGTTCATCCTATAATAATATAAAAGTGATTGAAAGAAAAAGTATGAATTTATATTAAAATATTGATTAGTTTATAGTATTCTACCTTTTAAAAAATAACTAATGAATCACTATATGAAATATACCTTGCCTAACTGTAACAATGGAAAAGGATATCTCTTAGTTATTACCTATCCATGCAGACACTACTAATTACACTTAAGTAATCATATTGGTATGTTTTTTAACTTAATTTCATTTATGATATTCTGGTTTATGTCTAATAACATTTTCCATTTCAAAGGTTTAACTTGAGATAAGAGTCAGACTTTAAAACCTCTCGAGGAAGCTGACCTGGTCAAAACATCGGAAAAATATTTCTGTAAAGAAGATAAGGCCTCTATGTTGGAGTCTGCAGTTCTAATATGGCTCTACAAGGCCGGAGGTCTCTAGCGCTCTCCAGAATCTGTGCTGTTCTTTTTTGTCCTTCTTTCACCTTATAGGGAAAGAATACAAAAAACCTCATATGTGATTTTATTAAATTCCACTCAGAAAGCACTCCAGCACTCTTTGGCCTGTTTTTAAGTATGTCCTAGAATGACAATGATTTTAAAAAGGGAAAAAAGAACAGTTCTTTCACAGAATAGCAAAGGGCTTGCACTGCCTCTTGAGATAAAAATTCAAGAAGGGGCCAAGATGAATATGGTTCCAATATATCCTGACTCTACTAGAGTAGATATTTTGCCGTATAAAATATTTTATGAGGCTCCAGTATATTTATTCTCAACAAGTCAAGGCTTTATTTATACTTGAACAAAATTTAAATAATTTATGGCCATAGTTCACTACTTTGAGTTAAATGGTTTTACTTGTCTAAATTTCTATGCTTATTAGTGCATACAAGCTACATTCTGATTATCATATTTTCCAAATTAAGAAATTTCAACTTTACTATTTTTTGAAGCTTCCACTCTACCTGTTTATTGATATAATGTACAGTAAGAATAGATAATGTTTGCCAAAGTCAGCTCTAGATTTAGTCCTTACCTTATCTCTCTTTCCATGATTTTGGAGATTTTTCAGTTTTTCATATACTAGGGTAGCAATCTCTTTTGCATCTCTGGCATCTATTTGCTCTCCCCAAATATTTCTCTAAAATTAAAAACACTCCTGTTATAATCTTTAAGGTATCTATTCAAAACATGACATTTCCATTTAAGAAATTTAATTAAATATTCCTTTTAAAAGTTCTAAATATTTGAAACTCAAATTTCTTCAAGGAAATAATGCTGCAAAAACAGTTAACTCATAATTTACTTAAATACAATACTGTTAGGGGAACATGTAAAATAATTCATTGGAAAAAATGATATTGCTAACTCCAATTGCCTTAAAATAACTAAATTGTAAAGAAAAGACAGCCCCCATAGGATTCAGATCATTCCAATCTAATACAAATCATAGGCACAGTTAAAACCTTGATCAACAACACTGGAAAGTAATGTATGTCTCCTGGTTCTCATTTGCTCAGAGCAGGACGGTGGTTGAAAATCAGGGAAGGGGGCAGGTCAATATATCAGGCTTGCTTTGCTTGGATCTGGTGTCATTTATTTCCTTCTTGGTGGGAACTCCACACTGTATGTTAGGATTTTGTTTTTTTGTGTTACTGCCCACCTGATCTGTACTGCTATTTACCACAATCATTGTTCTGCTTTGATTTTCAAATCTGGCCTGGACTTCCACCTCTGTCTCTTGGTTTGGACAGGGATATTTGGGGTCCTAATGTCTTCTGCGCTTCTCCTGCCACATGGTAACATCTTTTCAAACAGCTCCTTCTATGGCCTGATTAATTCTGTAACTACTCATTATACTGATACTTCCCTAACACCATCTATCTGAGTGAAGACCCCTATCTATGCCATACATTTCTCAGCTGTTCTGAGAATCAAAGTAGAGTCAATGATTCCAAAGAAATGAAGATTCAGGTACTAGTATAAGCTCCTTTACTCTCACTGAGTTCTGCTTACCCCAGGCTGTTCTTAAGACAGAATTAACCTCTTTGCCAAATCAAAATCCTTCACTGAAAAATTTAGATGACAATACTAGACTTTTGAAATTCATCATCCAATTTCATTATTTAACTCCAAAATATAATTTCTAATAAATAAACATGAAATCTTAAGCTGATGAGCTTTCTCAAAAAGTATAAAAATATTTGAAATGACTTACTTCAAATGTTTTACCAGAAAACATGAATACATAGCAAATCCTTATTTAATTACATTGTCAAAAATGTCATGCTTTTACCCAGAAAGATAGCAAAAGTCTTGAGTACTTTCAGTTAGCAATTATATTGGTTGAAAGGTATACGCATTTATATAAATGACCATAGGGGTTATCACCTGAATTTTAAGACCCATCAGTAGATGTCTAGTTTTTCTTTTTGAAGGGGAAAAAAAACCCAAAAAACATAGTGGCCCACAGAAGGGAGTTATAACCAAACCAAGGAACCATAACTTTTATTTTGTAGTCTAAATCACTAATTAATATTTCTCAAGATAAATGTTCTGGTACTAGCCTATTTCAAAAATATTATGAATTATGATAGTATTCTTTTAATTTTTTTCATTTCCTGGGAAAAATAATTATAAAGGTAGTATTTTTCTAAAAGTAGGAAATACAGAACTTCACAGAAAATAATTAACTTAAATCTCCACTCACAGAAAACTACTATTAATATTCTAGTATGTCTCTTCAGTAGTTTCTGTAATTCAGGAGTACAAAAATTTTAAGGCAGTGGGTCATCTGAACTTTGAGACAGAAAAACCTTTTAAAATCACGTGATGCATATTTTACTGAAGCTTCTTTTCACATATACAAATAAAACAAATGACAAAGGGAGAAAAAGCTAATAAAAACATTCAGACTAATAACAAACCTTTCCAACTTGGTCTGCTAAAGGAGAGGCACATATACGAATGCCTTGTACGTACCTTTGTTCTTTCATAGGGAAAAAATTTAACAGTTGGATAGGCTCTGATGCCAGCTTTCTGGCATGTTTGAGCATAAGCCTGACAGTCTACTTTCCCAGCTTTCACTTTTCCTTTAACCATCTGAAAAGAGAGAAATATGGTTTGTCATTCTCTGTGGCATAAACTATTTTGGCAACCACAAAGCAACATGATACAAATATTTTCAAATCTTTATCACTGTCAAGACTTAAGCTTTTATCCTTTCCATCCTGGTAAGACCGCTTCCAACTTTTTACTGGCTCTTTAAACACCTGTTTACCCAGAAACACCTCTCCAAGAGCAAATAAACTCTTTATCTTATCAAGAAAAGCTCCTTCCTGGTACCCACACCCTGTCCATCACACCACAAACACCTCAGATTCTGTCCTCATCCACCTTCTTCCTTTCTCTGGTCTCACATGCTGAGGGAGCACTCTTCCTTTTGTGGAAGGTTCACAACTCTACCTAAGCCTCCAGTCCCTCTGTATCAAGCCTCTGACTTGCTCTTCAGGGTATGGTCTTTTTCATATTGAGTAATCTTCTGCTATATTCAAGATATTGTTGCATTACAAAATAAGCTAAATACAAAGGGAGTAAAACATTTTGTCGAATTACTAAACAAAAAGGGAGCATAAAAGGAGAAAAAGATCTAGTAAGTGGAAAATAACCTCTTATTTGAAGGACAATCCAATAACTAAAATAATCTTTTATGACTCCTGGGGAGCTCTGAAATCCCTTTGCTAAAGAAATCTCCATGGCTTGAGATTTTCAGCTTTTGTTTTAGGCTGGTGAAACTTTAGCTTTCTCATTCTAGTGAGTGTTTTACAGCCCACGGGCAAAGCTCCCTGAAGCCAGGAAGCTAACAATCTGGATAGGCTAATGAGGAGGGTAACAGTGACAGAAACAACAAACATTCAGACTGTATTCAGTTTATGCATTCAGTTAAGTTTTATAAGCATTTACTGAGTTAGACAAGACTTGTAAAACTAGCCCTCAAGAAGCTCAGTGTTATGGAGGACACAGGTAACTAAGTATTTAACATCCATTATGTAAGTACACCAAAGGAGTACAAGATATTAAAGTGAACTGACTGAGATGGACAGTGAATACAGAAGTGCCAACTGAAGCTGGGTTTTGTAGGATAAGGAGGAAAAGATCCACATGACCAAGATAAGGAAAAGGCATTTTAGAGATAGGGAACAGCATGTACTTGTTCAACAAACTTGGAGTAATTTGTTGTGCCTGAACTGTAAGGTTTGGGGTAGGGACAGAGAGAAAGCCAAAGAGATAGAAAGGGTCCCATCAGAGACCTGCAACCTAGGATGCCAGGTCAGAAACCTGGTTCACAGGAAGCCTGAGAAGGGAGTATTTCAGAAAGATGATCAGGGCAGAACAGAAGAAGGCAGGCTGGCAACATGAGACTAGCTGAAAGGTACACATGAGATGTCTCGATGAGATGATGAGGGCTTGAACAGAGAGGCTAGCAGAAAAGATGGAGAGGAGATGTCAAATTTGAAAGGCATTTAGAAGACAGAACTGATAGGATCTATGATGGCCTGCCAAGCAGCAGAGTAAAGGAAAGAAATAGGGAACAAGCTAAACTGAGGTATCTGGCTGTTAGTTAGGTAGATGATGTCCTCAATCAAGACAGAGGTGTTAGCTAAAAGCATTAATAAAGAAGGAAGAAATCTGCAAAGATTTTAGTCATAGAAATGAAATGGAATTGAAAAAAAATTCACAGGAAACTTAAGAGAATTAATATTTAAAATATAATTATAGCTAATCATTTAATATAGCTACTTTTTAAATAACTGTTATTTTATCTAATTATTAAAACATGCATGGGACTACAAGTGATTTAAGTAGAGAGACAAGACTTACCCTAGCCAAAAGCTCAAACTCTGGAGCAAAATTTTGGCAAGGTCCACACCAAGGAGCATAGAAATCAACCACCCAGTGATTTTTCCCTTGTATAACTTTTTCATTGAAAGTCTGAGGCGTTAGATCTATGGATGCTTTAGGTAAGAATCTGTGGCAAGGGATCAAATTATTTTTCATTATATGAAACCAAAGGAAACATCTAAAATATAATACTGTAAAAGTTTCTAAGTAAAAAAGGCCTTCCAAGTTATCTTGGTAAATTTTAATTCTTTACGAAGTAATTTAAAATGCTACAGCCTTAAGCAACTCACAATAAATGTAACTACAGACATAAGAGGAAGGTAAATAGCACTGAATCTATTTTATACAATGATGCATATTTTGATTACTCACCCTAGACCCCAAATTCTCAGGGAATAAGCATCTCTATTCCATCCATTGTAACTACTGAAAGAAGAAAATTGATATAAGTTTTAAATACTATATTCTATTATTGGATATGTTTAGAAAACCATCTCTCTGCAGCAACTGAAAAGTTTAACTTATTGACTAGATACCATTTCCCTTCTCAGATACACCTACCTATAAATGCTGCTTACACGGCTTCCCAAATAAATTTTTCTCTAGTCTAGGTGTTTTTTTTTGGTGCTCCAGACAGCCCCGAAGTCTAACTGCCTGCTGGACAGCTCCTATACGCATGGGAATGGTAACACTCCAAATGTTTAAGACTTCAGTTTCAGAACCTTTATTCTGGTCATTATGTCTGTCAAATTCCTACCTCCTTTTTTTTTTTTTTTTTTTTTTAAAGATTTTTATTTATTTATTTCACAGACAGAGACAGGCAGAGAGGCAGGCAGAGAGAGAGGGAAGCAGGCTTCCCACTGAGCAGACAGCCCGATGCGGGGCTCTATCCCAGGACTCTGGGATCATGACCTGAGCCAAAGGCAGAGGCTTTAACCCACTGAGCCACCCAGCCGCCCCTCCTACCTCCTTTTTAAGACCCATGGCAAAAGCCACCTCCTAAATGCAGCCTTTCATGATTTCCTCTCATAGCTGTGATCCCTTCCTCCTTGGCAATCCACGGCTCAGTTTTACTTTTTACATAATGTTCTTTATATTCTGCCTTGCACTTGAGTTTTCTACCTCAAATGCCATGTGGTGTTACAGAAACAGGATGGGCATTGACACAGACTGGGCTGAATCTTCAATTATAAACCTTAGCAGCTGTGTGACTTGACAAAATTATTTAAGGTCTGTTAATCAGTTTACTTATTTTTAATAGGAGGAAGGGCAATAATTCTTATTTCTCAGGGTCTATGGGAGGACTAGTGGGAATAACATGAACAAAGATCTAGTATAATACCTGAAACCAAAAACTGACTTACTAAATGTTAGTACTTCCTCCGTTTATCTTTTTCTATACTGGCGTGCCAGCTTCATAAACACTGGGATCATTCAATTCTTTTTTCATCTTCAGAGGTTCTCATTAGCACATCATCTTAAAACATGGTGGGCTCCCAAAAAATATTTATTGGGTTAACGTCTATTTAGTTAAGATAACTTTTTTTAAAGAAGCTTATTTATTTAAGTAATCTCTATACCCAACATGGGGCTGGAACTCATGACCCTAAGATCAAGAGTCACATGTTCTTCTGACTGAACCAGCCAGGCACCCCTAAGATAACTTTAAATAAAAGGTTATAATAAATGTCTTTACATTTTAGGCAACACTTACTGATACTGATAAGCGTTATTTGATTTTTGGGGGAAAAATCTTATCTCAGGGTATCTCCGAACATTTTCTTGGGCACAAAAAGAATGATACTGTTGGCAGTCTATGCTGCCCACATTGATCAGTCCAGTTAATGTCTATAAAAGAGAAAGAGAGGAGATAAACAGATCAAAGTGATTAGAATAAAATTAGAATTAGAATAAAATATAACTATTTATGTTTATAATAGAGAAATTATCACTGTGAGATGATTATTATTTTTCAGTGATTAGAACACTTACAGTAATGAACTGAGAATGTAATGCTGTAGTTAGGACCCTACTACAATTATTACAGATTAAACAACAGCTTTCATTCATGTTCTATGTGGGGGGAAATTAGGTATTTATAAAATTAAGTGTTAGAAACAAGGAACTAATGAAGATCACTGCAATGGTACTTCAAAGTTATTTTCCAAATAGAGACCTGCATTGCAACACATTGAAATCATGCCCCAATTTTAAAATTTTACTGAAAAGGACACAAAATTGCATCATCTTAAACGTTAAGATACTAGAAATCACTTTTACCTATTTGGTTCGTTCACTTTTTCTTAGAAATATAAAACAGAGATTTCATTTTCCATTCTCATATTTAGTAACTTTCTTCCAATCCTTCATAACACTATGTCTATTTGTATAGAAAATAAAGGGATTTGGGGGTTGACTTTGGCAAAAATTTGGCCAGATAGGTACCAAACAAGTGACACAGGGGAAAAAAAAAGGTAGATTATCTATACCATCTATACCATTCACTCAACCTGACAGAAAGAGAGTTGAAATCCAACTGGTATAATCAGAACTGTTTAAGTGATAATCTAGAGGTGGGTTAATCTCAGTTTCAAAACAGTTCTGTTAAATACACATTCATGCTACATGTTAAGATTAAAAAAAAAAAAACACTACTATACCCGGGCCATTCTTTTCCATTCTGGCATTAGGACTTGACATGGATGACACCAAGGAGAATAGAAATCAACCATCCAGACTTCGTCCTGTTTTCTCTGTTTAACTAGTTCATTGAAAGTGGTGGGTGTCAGGGTGATCACTGAAGGATTCATAAGATCCTAAAGAGAATATAACTTTCATTATAACAATATAAAAGAGTGTTCACATATTCTTGGCAAACTGTTGTCACTTAGAAAGTTCCTGTTTCTGAATAATCAAAAGATACTTATGGATGTTTAAAAGATAATCGACAGTGAATTATTTTAAAAAGGAAGGAATTATTCCCAGTTTAGACTTTGCCCATTAGCCTTCTTAAATCAAGGTTTATTTTTTTTTTCTTATTTCCATGTATCATTAAAATCATCTTAGTAGGGAACAGAGGCAACTTTACTTAAGGTGACATTAGATGGGACAAAAAGTTCTAAGAGGTGCCCAGATAGCTACACAGGCCAAATAGTCCCATTCCAGATCCAATGATTGGTTTGGAAATGATCCTTTAATCATTAATGGAAAGCCTATTACTCTATTTTCCTGACAGTCTGATTGGAGATACTGCTCAACCTCCCTAAAAGCTCACTTGCTCCAAATGCTGTTTTAATACAGCTTCAGTCTACCATGATAGGGTAATACTAACAAAAATGTTAGCTTCACAGGGGAAACAATAAAAAACAAAACAACACAAAACCAAAAACCAGTTAAAAATAATTTACCTCAGTAAATTACAATACTATAAATTAAAATACCTCTATGAATTCCAAGATCTGTTCAGCAGAGTGATGTCCTTCATATTCATGAACATTGGACTGGTTGAAAACCACTGTTGTTGGATAAGCCTGAATGTTATACTGTTAGGAATAAGAATACAAACTAAAGATTTTATGCATTTTACCTCTTGGTTGCAAATTTATAACCAACTTGCTTTTAAGTAGCAACAGTAACATTTTAAAAACCCATTGCTAAACTGCTGGTGACTGAAAAATTTTAGCCTGGCCAAATTTGGCAAAGAAATGGATTCACAGTTGCACTGATAAATGACCCTTTTTTATAGGTAGTCCATTAGCCATAAAATCCATGGGCAATGAAACATTGAGAAGTGCGCAAAGCCATAATATGGCTAATTATGAGCGTGGGCCCTTTTGACTCTCTTGAAGCAAGATGGATAATACATTCTTGGGACATGAGTCATGATTCCTTAAGTTAAAATATGGTTGTGTACACATTATTCTTTCTTTATCCTTGCTACTTTGTTTCCTTTATTTTCTTCTACTACTAGACAAATTGGAGCATTATTGTGGTTTCAAAGACTCAAGCCAGAGATTAGCCTTCTCTTTACAGCCTTATCCATCTTGCTTCAAGAGAGTCAAAAGGGCCCATGCTCCTAATTAGCCATATTATGGCTATGCTGTGTGAATTTACTGTAGCTGATCTTTGCATCCTTAAAGTTGACAAGCACTCAGCAGCAAACTGGAATGTTTGATTAGGATTCAAAAAACTCATTAGGTATGACTGTTAATCTTAGTGTTTAGCATATGCTGGACATCTTTTTAGCACTGAAATATGCAGTTTCTCTTCTTAAAAGCTTTTATTTATTTATTTGAGAGAGAATCTGAAGCAGATTCCATGCCAAGCACAGAGCCTGACATGGGGCTCAATCCCATGATCACGAGATCACAACCTGCACAGAAACCAAAACTCTTGAGGCTTAATTGACTGAGTCACCCTGGTGCCCCTTAAACATGTAGTTTCTAATCTATTCTGTACAACAACTCTATTCAGAAGCTAAAATTACCACGTCAACTTTACAGATGAGAAAATGGAGGTATTGAGAGGCTATGTGACTTGGTCAAGCTCCACCAATTAGCGAGTAATGACTCCTGGCCTCTATTCCAGGTGAAGCTGACACCACAGTTTTAAAATCTTATGTTTTACTCAATTATCTCAAGGATATTTAATAGTTTTGATAAAAAGTAGAAAAACTAGAAGAATTCAAATTAAGGTAATTATTATTTATCACATTGTATCTTGCTTAGGATCTTTTCAATGTCACATACAAGACATTCAAAACAAGACATTCAAAACCAAAGATCTTACATTAGTTTTTAGTTAAATGGAATTTCAAACAGAATGAAGAGGGAAATCATCTGACAAATATCCATCTATCCCTTCTCAATATTTAAATTTAACTTGTCACCCTGGCAGATTGCTTAAATTCTTTTTTTTTTTTTTTATCACATTTCCTTTCCTCCCTCAAAGTAAGAGCAATCAATATCCTCAAATAAGTATATATCCAATCCACAAATGTTTTGATACTTTTGTGACATGCTTAAGTATCCCTGGGTAGTATAGTGAAATGCTGAAGCATTAAAAAATTTTCTGTAATTCTATCATACTCTGTAAGCTATTCTGCAGCTTGCTTTTGTCATCTTACAATGTATTTTTGAGACTTACACATGCTGGTAAAGATAGATTTAGTTTTAAATGCTCTATGGTATTCCATTACAGGACTGGATCATTTATCCATATACTTGCTATTATCAGATTTCAAAATTTTTGTTAATTTGTTGATAGATTTATTTGATGGATTGTTGTAATTTGTACTTTCTTGATGGCCAGTGAAGTGCAAGATTTTTTATGTTTGTTGGATTTTTCTAAAAAGTCTCAACTTTCTCATTTATCTACTTAAACTCACTTGTAGTCAAATATTTTGGCAGTAAGGTTTTCTGTCAGTTACATGTGCTATAGTTTTTGGCAATAGTTTTATCATTTAATGTAGTCAAAATCATTCACATTTTTACCTTGTGTGTGTGGACTGAGAAATTCTTCCTCACACAGATGCCATAAAGATTTCACTCTAGGGGCGCCTGGGTGGCTCAGTGGGTTAAGCCTCTGCCTTAGGCTCAGGTCATGATCTCAGGGTCCTGGGATCGAGTCCCGCATCGGGCTCTCTGCTAGGCAGGGAGCCTGCTTCCTCCTCTCTCTCTCTCTCTGCCTGCCTCTCTGCCTACTTGTGATCTCTCTCTGTCAAATGAATAAATAAATTCTTTAAAAAAAAAAAAAAGATTTCACTCTACATTTACTTGTTTTTAAAACCTATCATTTTCTTTTCCTTCCTTTTCCTCCATTTTTCTTTTCCTTTTTCAAGTTGGCTTTTATACAATTATTTAAAATATACACGAAGGCAGACAGCAATACATTTGCATATACTCTTGTAGCTATAATAATCTTCCACTCATGGGCACACTTACTTCATTTATACTCCCTCCCAACTCTATTCCTATACCAATATTATTTTATTTCTTAAAATATTTCACTTATTTATTTGACAGAGAGAGAGAGTGACAGACAGTGAGAGGGGGAACACAAGCATGGGGTGAGAGAGGGAGAAGCAGGCTTCCTGCCGAGCAGGGAGCCTGATGTCAGGCTTGATCGCAGGACCCTGGGATCAATGACCTGAACTGAAGGCAGACGCTTAATGACTGAACCACCCCAGCACCCCCACCAATATTATTTTAAGGCAAATTCCAGATGACTTATCGTTTCATCCATATTTCAGTATATTTAAAATATAAGAACTTTCCTCCAAGTGTATATATACACTTATATAAAATATAAGGACTTTCCTCCAAGTGTAACTACACTGTCATTTTTACACCTAAAAATGAACAATTCCTGTTAATTTTCAGATACCCTGTCGGTGCTCAAATTTCCCTAACTACTGGTTGCTCATTTTTTTGCAGTTGGTTTGGCATCCAAACGAGACCAAAACATTGCATTTGAGTGATATGTCTTTTGAATCTCTTTCATCTCTTTTCCCACCTTTCAGTGTATCTGACCAATAAATTAGATATTTGTCCTGAAAGATCCTCTACATGCTGGCACTTACAGATTTCATGCCCATGGTTTCACTTAACATGTTCCTCTAACTGATTTCCTACACACGGACAGATCTCAAGGTGTGATCTGATTTAGGTTTCAGAGACTTGTTCCAACTATATTTTATAGATGGTATATACTTTCATGACAAGATATATAATTTCTAGTTATTCCTGGAACTGAAAAATAAACATTAATTAAGAAAATGTTTTATTATAAACAAAGGTTCAAAAATCTTGTTCATTTTTAAAATTTCCATCTACTAAGAAAACAATTATGAGGAAAACCTGAGAATCAAACTACAGACTGCCAAAAGACAATATTGCAACAAAAATTATAAAGATTTTAAATAATGGAAAAATCATATATTTTATCAAATAAACTAAATATTTTCCTATGTTTGATAAATAAGACCATATCCACATTCAACTCTTTATGTTGTCTATTCATGTTTTAATCCAATCATAATTTTATATCATTTTTTGAAATATTTGTTACTCCTCTAAATGTACCTGCACATTTTAAATTACACTGACAAAGGTTTCTATTTCAAAACTATTTTACAAAAGTGTTAATTAGAACAAGTATTTTATACGTACCATGTTACAGAGTCCCTCATGAACTGTACAATCTAGTGTACCAAACTTAAGCTGACCGTAAAGATGCTTTGATGCTTTTCGTAACTCTGGCAATAAAGCTCGACACGGTGGACACCACTATGAAAGAAAAAATATAAGCACAGAGCTACAGGGAACAAAAAAACCACATTTCTGCAATAAGCAATATATACTAAGTAAGACAAACCATACTTAGTGGCAAATCTTATGTGTGCCTGCCTGTGTATTTAATTCTTGGAGGGGCAAGTACATCCCTGTCCACTTGGAAGCAGTATCTGATAGGGGCCAAAGTGAGTAACACAATTTTGGTATTCATGGTTCAAGACTATCTAGAAAAAGTCTTTTTGCTATGATAAGAGAAAATCTGACAACACTGAAACTGACAGATAAAAATTACTTACTGGGGCAAAAAAATCAACGAGCCACGGTTCCTTGTCATTGGCAGGAAAATTTTGAGGTCCAAGTGTGGTAACATGAGAATTAACGCTTTCTTTGGCAAAGGCAAGTATATCATATAGAATCTTCTTTCCTTTGAAATTGTATAAAAGAAAAATTAAAATCCACATTCTTCCTTTCTACCCATATAAACATTTCAAAGTTTTTGTACTTAATATATTAAAGAAATGAAGATAAACTTATTGAACCCACTGATTTTGGTGAGGGTCTAGTGTTTTGTATACTATACGTAAACAGGTTTGCTCTGCCAGGAGCACTTTTCTTATATGCTTCTGTTTCTTGGAGGACCTATCTTTGCAATATTTCTTTATCCTCAGAGGCAGAGTAACCACTTCTTGCAGTATTTGTGTTCTTTATGCTTACCTGAACTACTACTGTGGCCCAACTACTAAATCTGCTTCTTCAAACTCGACTTCCCTTATGAATTCAAAACCTGTATTACCAACTACCCAGTGAAAGTATTCACATGGATGTCATACAAACATTTCAAATATATTAAAACTGAAATTGAGTTACTTTCCCCCGAACTTGCTCCTTTTCTCACCTTTCCTATCTTGGCAATGACATAATCATCCACTAGGTGGATGAATAGAGTGAGAACTAAAGAAGAAATAAATAAAATATATAAAAAATGAGTCAGAGCCAAAGAATACAGTAACTGACACTAAAAACACACGGAGGGAGTCAACAGATTAGAAGCAGCATAATGGACCAGGAATCTGGAAGACAGAGTTGAGGAAATCCCCCAGGCTGAACAGCAAAAAGAGAATAAAAAATGAGTACAGGTTAGGTTAAGGGACCTCTAGGACAGCATCAAGCATACTAATATTGACATTATAGAGGTTTCAGAAGGAGAAGAAAGAGACTAAAAGGCAGAAAAATTACTTGAGGAAATCAGAGCTGGAAAACTTCCCTACCAAGGGAAGAAAGCAGATACACAGATTTAGGAAGCACAGAGAAAACCAAACAAGAAGAATTCAAGTAAATTCAAACCCAGACACATTTTTAAAATGTCAAAACTATAGAGAAACAGAAAATCTTAAAAGCAGCAAGAGCTATGCCAACTAGTATAGAGAAGAGTACCCTCATATGATTATAAGCTGATTTTTTTCACCAAAAACATAGCAGGCCAGAAGGGAGTGGTACAATATATTCAAACTGTTGAAAGGAAAAACTCTACAACCAAGAATACCTCATCCAACAAAGTTATCATTCAGAATCAAAGGAGTTTCCCAGGCAAACAAAAGTTCAAGGAGTTCATCACCTACACCAGCCTTAAATGTTATAGAAACTTCTTTAAGCAGAAAAGAAATGGCCATAGTTAAAAGAATGTTATGAAAAAAAAAAAAAAATCACTGGTAATGGCAAACATTAGTAAACATGCAGAAAAGGCAGTGGCTTGATCACTTTTAAGGCTAGTACGAAGGTTAAAGAGAAAAAGTTGTAAAACTTTTATCTACAATAATTAGTTATGGGATACACAAAAGATGTAAAATAGGATGCCAAAAAAAGGCAGCAGGGAGAGTAAAATGTAGTGCTTTTAAAATGCATTCAGAGGGGACGCCTGGGTGGCTCAGTTGGTTAGGCAGCTGCCTTCGGCTCGGGTCATGATCCCAGCGTCCTGGGATTGAGTCCCACATCGGGCTCCTTGCTCATCGGGGAGCCTGCTTCTCCCTCTGCCTCTGCCTGACATTCTGTCTGCCTGTGCTCGCTCTTGCTCTCTGACAAGTAAATAAATAAAATCTTTAAAAAATAAAAATAAAAAAAAAATAAAATGCATTCAGAGGGTGCCTGGGTGGCTCAGTGGGTTAAAGCCTCTGCCTCTGGCTCAGGTCATGATCCCAGGGTCTTGGGATTGAGCCCCACATCGGGCTCTCTGCTCGGCAGGGACCTGCTTTCTCTCTCTGCCTGCCTCTCTGCCTACTTGTGATCTCTGTCAAATAAATAAATAAAATCTTTAAAAAAATAAAATGCATTCAAACCTAAGTGACAATCAACTGAAGACTACTATACACATAGGTTGTTACATATGATCCTAATGGTAACCAAAAACCTGTAACAGATGCACAAAAAAATTAAATGCAAATATAAAACTAAAGAAAGTCAAATCACAAGAGAAGAAAGGAACAGAGAAGAACTACAAAACAGGCAGAAAATAATGAAGAAAATGTCAATACATACCTATTATCTGTAAATACTATAAATGTAAATGGACCAAATGCTCCAAACAAAGGACACATGGTGGCTGAATGGATAACAAAAGCAAACAAACAAAAAAAAACCCCCTCTATAGGCTACCTATAAATACCTTACTTCGGATATAAGGACATACACAGACAAAGTGAAGGGATGAGAAAAGATATTCCATGCAAATGGAAACAATAAGAAAAATAGACTAGCAACACTTATAACTGACAAAATAGACTTTACAACAAAGACTGTAATAAGAGACAAAGAAGGACATTTCATAATGATAAAGGGATCAAGTCAACAAGAGGAAATAATAAATATCTCTAACATCAATATAGGAACATCTAATATGTAGAACAAGTATTAATTGATATAATGGGAGAAAGTGACAGTAATACAGTAATAATAAAGGACTTTAACACATCACATACATCAATGGATGACAAATCATGCAGACAGAAAATCAGTAAGAAAACAGTAAACTTCAATGACATATTAGACCAGTTTGATATTACAGATACATACAGAACATTTCTTTCAAAAACAGAATACATGTTCTTTTCAGGGGCACACAGAACACTCTCCAAGAGATTCATGTTAGGCCACAAAACAAGTCTCAATAAATTTAAGAAAAATGAAATCATACCAAGTATTTTTTCTGACCCAATGGTATAAAATTAGAAATTAAAACTAAACAAAACTGAAAAAAAAAAAAAAAAAACCCACAAACATACGTAGAGGCTAAACATGTACCTAACAACCAATGAATCAATGAAGAAATGAAAGGAGACAAAAAAATACCTTATATGACAAATAAAAATAAAACACAATGTTCAAAAATCTTCGGGACCTACCAAAAGCAGTTTTAAGAGGCAAGTTTGGGAGCACCTGGGTGGCTCGGTGGGTTAAGTGTCTGCCTTCAGCTCAGATCATCATCACAGGGTTGCTGGATTGAGCCCAGCATCTGGCTCCCTGTTGAATGGGAAGTCTGCTTCTCCCTCTGCCCCACTCTCGTATTCTCTCTCTCCCTCCCTTACTCTCTCAAATAAATAAATAAAATTAAAAAAAAAAAAGCAAGTTTATAGAGATACAGGCATAAGGAAACAAGAAAAATCTTCAGGAAAAATTTCTTCAGGAAACAAGAAAAATCTCAATCTAACCTTACATATTAAAGAACTAGAAAAAGAACAAATAAATGACTCTCTGCTCAAAATCTAATAGAACAAATCAACTCAGTAAAGTAAAAGGATACAAAATTAATATACAGAAATATCCGTTCTTTTTTTTTTTTTTTTTTTTTTGAGGGCAGGGAGGGGCAGAGGGAGAGGGAGAATCTTAAGCAGGCTCCACAACCAGCATGGAGTACAATGTGGGGCTCAATCTCACAATCCTGAGATCATGACCTGATCCAAAATCAAAAGTCAGGTGCTTAACTAACTGAGCCACCCAGGCGCCCCAAGAGCTGGACACTTAACTGATTGAAACGAGGCTCCTCAATCTGTGCTATTTCTGTACTCTAATATCAAGCTATCAGAAATTATGAGAACAATCCCATTTACAGTTGTATCAAAAAGGATAAAATACCTAGGAATAAAAGTAACCAAGGAGATAAAAGACCTGTACTCTGAAAATCTACAAGACATTGCTGAAGAAACTGAAGAGGACAAAAATAAATATATATACAGTCCTCATAGACTGGAAGGATTAATGTTATTAAAATGTCTATATAGGGGCACCTGGGTGGCTCAGTCATTAAGCGTCTCCATTCGGCTCATGTCATGATCCCAGATCCTGGGATCAAGCCTTGCACTGGGTTCCCTGCTCAGCAGGAAGCCTGCTTCTCCCTCTCCCACTCCCCCTGCTTGTGTTTCTCTGTCAAGTAAATAAATAAAATCTTAAAAAAAAAAGTCTATATGATCTCTAAAAATCTACATGTTCAATTCAATCTCTATCAAAATATCAGTGGCATTTTTTTACAGAATTAGAACAAATTACCTTAAAATTTGTATGGAACCACAAAAGACCATGAAGAAATCAAAGCAATCATGAAAAAAGAGAACAAAGCCAGAGGTATCGTGCTCCCTGATTTCAAGATACACTATTAAAGCTATAATAATCAAAACATTATGGTATTGGCACAAAAAACAGATATATCAATGGAACAGAACAGAGAACCAGAATAAAGAGAAACAAACCCATACTTATATGGTCAATCTGTGACAAAGGAGATAAAAACATAAAATGGAGAAAGACTTCAATAAATGGTACTGGGAAAACTAGAGCTACATGCAAAAGAATGAAACTGGACCACTTTCTTATACCATATGCAAAAACCAATTTAAAATATATTACAGACCTAAATATAAGACCTGAAGCCATAAGACTCCTAAAACAAAACACAGGCAGAAGACTCTTGGACATCTGTCTTACCAATATCTAGAAAACAAAATGAATGAAGAAGCAAAACAAAATAGAAGAGACTCATGAGAACAAACCGGTGATTGCCAGAGGAGAGGGAGGTGGGAAGATAATAAGGGTGAAATAATTAAGGGGATTAAGAGGTACAAACTTCCAGTTACAAATAAACAAGTCACAGGGGTATAAAGTATAGCACAGAGAACTAGTCAATAATAATGTAACAACTTTATATGGTGACAGATGGTAACTAAACATCATGGTGATTATTCTGCAATGTACATATAAAAGGGAGTTACTATATAATACACCAGAAACTAAAACTCTATTCCAATTATACTTCAATGAAAAAAAAAAAGTTAAAAATGCTTAGAGAAATCAGTAAAGTCAAGGCAGAAAAGTGATGTGAGACTGTCAATTTTACCAAAGAATGATAATAGAGTAAATGAAGGAGATGATGAACTGGAAATAAGGCAGCATACATGGGACGGGGAAGGAATTGGAATTATTTCAGAGATAAGAACAGAACTCCATTATTAAAACATGGTCATTTTTAGCACTTTCAGGAGACAGTACAGTTTAGTGCTGCTATAATCCTAGGCTCTGGAGTAAGACATATTTGGGTACAAAATCTACCTTTAGGGGCGCCTGGGTGGCTCAGTGGGTTAATGCCTCTGCCTTCAGCTCAGGTCGTGATCCCAGGGTCCTGGGATAGAGCCCCGCATCGGGCTCTCTGCTCAGTGGGGAGCCTGCTTCCTCCTCTCTCTCTCTCTCTCTCTGCCTGCCTCTCCGCCTACTTGTGATCTCTCTCTCTCTCTGTCAAATTAAAAAAAAAAAAAAAAAAAATCTAACTTGACTAGTTACTAGTTGTTGATCATAGGCAAATAATTATCCCGAGCCACTGTTTTCTCCCTTGGTGGGCTGTTGTGAAGATAAAAACAGAAAGGGCAAAGTATGTGAAGCCTTTAGAAAAACATCTGACTTGTAAAAAGTACTAAATAAACAGGAGCTACTGTTAGGTTCATCTTGCCGAGACTTTGCTCACACAGCTCCTTCAGCTTAGCCTCACTTCTTGCTTTTCTGTATTTACTTTGAGAAACTGAGCATTCAAATGTTATCTTAACTCAAATATCATCTCTAGATCTATACTAAACGTAAGTCTTTTTATTTGATCTTATAATACATACTGGCCATCACAATGTTTTTCCTATTTTTCTTACAATCTCCTGTCAACCACACCAGATGATATTTTAAATTTTTTTCTTTTTAAACATTTTTAAAATTCATTCATGAGAGACAGAGAGGGGCAGAGGAAGAAGCAGACTCCCCGCTGAGCAGGGAGCCTGATGCAGGACTTGATCCCAGGATCTGGGATCATGACCTGAGCTGAAGGCAGACACAACCAACTGAGCCACCTAGGAGCTCTGATACTTCAAATTTCTTGAGAGAACTTTGCATTCCTAAGCATATAACATCAGTCAGTATCTGTTTTTCACTTAGCTGTGTTGCAGTTAGTAGTTTTTATGTTTCTTTTGCTACATTTGACCTTTTTCAGGACAGGGACCATGAGGTAGCCCAAATCCTCATAATTGCAACTGTACCTACATGAATGCAGAGCTAAAGTCCCACACAAGCTGAAATGTAAAAATGTAATTATAAATTCAAGAGAGATAAAAGTAGCCATAGAAATATTTAATAGTCTAGCGGAAGAAAAATCTGGAAAACGCCCATGGCTAAAATACTACTTTGGCACACTGGAAATGGAAACTATAGGTATTGCTTACTTTTGTTAATAAGACCTCTAAATTTGGAACTAACCTGACAATGTCACCAGCATTCTTGCTGAAACACTAGTCAAAATAGCAGAAAAAAAGTTAATTATTTTAAAAAGAGAATAAAATAACTAAATATAATTCAAAAAATCTTTCTCCAAAAGAAACCTATTTACTAATAAAGATATTTACAGTAAGTATTTTCATATAAAATAACGTAAAAAGAACCACAAAAGATCCCAAGTAGCCAAAGTGATCTTGAAAAGGAAGAACAAATCTAGATATCATGGTCCCTGATTTCAAGATATAAGACAAAGCTATATAGTAAACATGACAGTATGCACTGGCACAAAGACAGACACTTAGGTCAATGGGACAGAATAGAGACCCCCAAAATAAACCCATGCTTACATGGTCAGTTATCTTTGACAAAAGAGACAAGATTATACAATGGGGAAAAGAGAGCGTCCTCAGTAAATGTTGCTAGGCAAACTGATCAGCTATATGCAAAAGAATGAAATTCAACCACTTTCTTACAACATACACAAAAATAAAACTCAAAAGGGAACAAAGACCTAAATGCGAAGCCTGAAACCAAAGAAGTCCTATAAGAAAACTTAGGCAGTACTCCCTGACATTGGCCTTAGTTACAATTTTTCTATAACTGTCTCCTCAGACATGGGAAATAAAAGCAAAAATAAACTGTCAGGACTACACCAAAATAAAAAACTTTTGCACAGTAAAGGAAACAACAAAAAGAAAAGGCAACCTACTGAATGGGAAAAGATATTTTCAAATGATACAACTTTTTTTTTCTTTTTTTTAAGTTTATATACAGGGATAGAGAACGTGTGTGTGAACTGGGGAGTGAGAGGCAGAATGACAGAGTTATCTTTTTTTTTTTTTCAGATTTATTTATTTCAAAGAGAGAGAAAGTGCCTGTGCACTGAGCAAGTGGGGGAAGGGGCCAAGGGAGAGAATCTTCAAGTAAATACAGAGAACTGGTGGTTACTTGAGGGGAGAGCAATGGCAGGATGGGCAAAATGGGTGAAATGGCATGGGAGTTACAGGCTTCCAGCTATGGAATGAGTAAGTCATGGAGATGAAAGGTACAGCATAGGAATATAGTCAATGGTACTGTTAATAGCATCATATGGTGACCAAAGGTAACTACACCTGTAATGAGTATAGCACAACATACAGAGTTGTAGAATCACTGCCGTACACCTGAAACTAATGTAACTGTGTGTCAACTACATGTCAAATAAATAACTAAAAAACAAAATAAAAAGTATAATTAAAAAATTACTATTTGAAAACTAATATAAATTTTTATCATTTTTTTCCCTTCTTACCATGATGAATTTCGTATTCCCTGGTTCCTTGTCCTTTAAATACTGCTAGACATGGCTGAAACACATACAGATTACTACAGATGTCTGGTGCAGAGGAACAGTCAAACTTGCCAACCTGAAGTGGAAGTTTAATTTGATGAAGACAAAATCACATGCATTCATTTTTAATATATTCATAAAGGAATGACATTGCTCTAATAATAGTTTCTAAACAGAAATTAACTGGCCATAAAAATAAAAGATGGAAATAAATAATTTACATTAACACTGAAACACAATTTCGTTAAGGGGAAAAAAAAAACGCCTTAGAGAGTTCAAAAACCTGAGAGAAAATTTTCCAGAAAATAGGAAGTTGTTTAAGAAATCCACTTTTTCGGGTGCCTGGGTGGCTCCGTCGGTTAGGCGTCTGCCTTTGGCTCAGGTCATGATTCTGAGGTCTTGAGACAGAGCTTGCATGGGGTTCCCTCCTCCATAGGGGGCCTGCATCTCCTCCTCCCTCTGCCTGCTGCTCCCCCTGCTGTGCTCTCTTTCAAATAAATAAATACAATCTTTAAAAAAAAGTTTAAGAAATCCACTCTTCTAAAAATATAAAGGATATTTATGTAATTTGAAGTGGGGGAGAGAGAAAACTCTTTCAGATCTAGAAGCAGAAATAATAAAGCAAAGTTTCAATTTCATTCACTGTAAAGAAAAACAGCATAAAGAATACTAAGAGGGAAATGATAAACCAAGAAAAAAATATTTGAGTATTTCAGAGGATCCACTAAGAAAGAAAAGATAAACATCCTATGAGAAGAAAGAAAATGGGCCAAAGACAGAAAATAGAAAAAAATGGTAATTTGTTAATAATCACAAAAAACTTTTTCAACCCCACTAGGAACCAAATAAATGAAAATGAATATTATTAACATATCACTGTGGCTTATCAGAATGGTGATTAAAAAATGTTAATACCATGGTTGGCACAGGTATGGAGAAATGGTTACCAACATGTGGTAAGAATATAAAATGATACAAACATTCTGGAGGACATTGGTAATGAGGACAATTTAAAAAAATATATAATCTTGGTTAAAAACATTCTCCATACTGCATTTTTACAGTATGTGTTTTTGATATAAAAAATAATGGAAACAATGTTAGTAAAGGAGGATTTGTTAAACAATTATGGTGTAACCATATAGTGAAATACTACCTAGACTTTAGGGAGGATGATATCCCTAGGATGATATTTGTATCATATGTTTAATAATGTACTTAATATATTTATCATCTCTAAAGATGTATATATTTATCATCTCTAAAGATCAGGCAGTACTTTGTATACATATATGTACATATACATATACACAAAGACACATATATATACATATTCACATATACACATACATACACACCAGCATATAAAAAAATAAATGATATTGTCAAATGGAAAATTCTACAAGAGAACACAGCAGGTCCCCTCTTATCAGTGGTTTCACTTTCCATAATTTTGGTTCCCATTGGTCAAACTATAGTCCAGAAGTATGATTCTCTTTCTCAGGCATTTTCAGGTCAGTAGTAGCTTAACATGTCACAATACCTGCGTCATTCACCTTACTTCATCTCATCATGTAGACATTTTACCATCTTGTTATCAATTCACAAGGGTGAGTACAGTATAGTATAATAAGACACTAATACATAACTTTTATTATAGTATATTATTACAATTGTCCATTTTATTGTTATTGTTAATCTTTCACTGTGCCTAATTCATGAATTAAACTCTCTTAGGGATATGTATGCATAGGGAAAAAAATAAGTACATATAGTGTTTGGTACTATCTGTGGTTTCAGGCATCCACTGTGGGCCTTAGACTGTATCCCCTGCAGAAAAGAGGGACTACTGTACAGTGAATCCATTTTGGGGGGTTTTCTTTGTTTTTGCTTTTAAAGATTTATTTTAGAGGAAGAGAGACAGAAAAAGCAAGAGTGGTGGGGGAGAGGCAAAGGGAAAGGACAAGAGCAACTCAAATAGACTCTACACTAAGTGCAGAGCCAAACGTGGGGCTCCATCATATGACCCTGAGATCAAGACCTGAGCCGAAACCAAGAGTTGGAGACTTAACCGACTGCACCACCCAGGTGCCCCTATACTCAATCCATTTTCATTAAAAAAGCTCATAAATAAAGTTACAGGTATGTCTATTACACTGGCTGTTACAATATGCATGATATAAACACACATACCTATGCCCACATACTAAAGCATATGCAGAAAAAGTCTGAAAAGTTACACAGTAAATTTATAGTAGGGCTATTAACAGCAGTAAAAATAGTAAATATTTTAATTCATTTTCGAGCTTATTTATATATCCTAATTTTTAAACTATGAGTACAAATTACTTACATAAACCAATAAGAATTTTAAAAAGGGAAAGATATTCTTCTATGGTATGCATTCCAAAAAATTGTCTGATACAGATATATCACATGCTAGCTACTAAAGAGAAATTAACTGTTTTCAGACATCACTGTAGATTCTTAATAGAAAAACAAAATCACAGCAGAAGAACAAAAGCACTTAGGGCTTTCTAAACCTAGATTCAAATAAGCATTTTTATGTTACTTAAAATATAATTTCATATATTAAATTAATAAGAAAACACACTTGCATAAGGCTAGGCAGAATGCTTTTTTCTTACTTGAATATGTTCATTTTTAAGTAGAGTTTTTAGTTTCTTCAATTCAGGATCATTTGAATTTTCATGTTTTCCAAAATTAAAAAATATGAGCCACCGATGATGAGCCAACCGATCCTTTGAAGTGATAAAAAGGAAAAAAAAAGTGATAAAATAATGTCAGAATCAAGAAATTCTAATGGTCCTATTCTTTATTTCTTTGATTTAAATTTTAGCTACCATACCCATTACTTCAAAATACTGTCTAAAATTCAGCCCTATTCACGCTTATATTTTGTATTTCTTTGGAATGTTATGTAAGTCAATCCCACATTAAAGGCTAAAAATCACTAAGTTATAAAATCTAAAAGCAGATAGCTGTGCCAAAAATTACATATAGTTTTAATGATATATAGCTAAAAAGTTGGGGGTAGGGAAGTAAGCTTTTTCAGGTTTGGCAGAGTTTGGTAGGGATACAGACTTAGCTCTGGGATCACTGAGTAGAAAAAAAAATGATTTTACTACAAACTCAGTCTTTCTAAAGCTGCTTCTTAGTTCTCAGTGAACAATATAAACAGTTCTGTAAGCAAGAACATAAAATTCTAAATCAGATCCAAAGTTACTTTGTGATCAAAATCTTAGCTTTTCTGACACTCCTGCTGAGGCCCCCATTCAGGACTTACTATGTTGTCCCGAACTCCAGACCCACCCTGAAGTTGCAACTCCAGCAATTAGAGTTTAACCTAGAATAACTAATATATACATATAGGTTATGTTTATATATGCAATCCTTTGAAACTGCTACTTTCTAATGATGAATAAAACAAATGCTGATTTTAAAATGTTAAGACTTGAAATGTTACCAACATTTACTACCATTTATTACCATTAACAGAAATATTACCTCTAGTGTGTTTGCCGAAAGTAGTTCAAAATCTGGAAGATTATGCATTATTTCCAAATATATTTCTTTAGCATCCAATGAATTAAGGAACTAAAATAAGAGAATCATATTGTAATCTTTTAAATCAACATCCATTTATTTTAGTGTCTTTTTTCCATATAATTCTTAAGATAAAAAAAAATCACAAAAGTTAAAAATAGTTTTTGAGCTATTTATTCTAAAGGTTGTGTTTTTTAAAATGTACATCATATTTTGGGAATTAATAAAAATTGTGTAACTCGGCTGTTTCTTAAAAATATTAATGTAAAATTAAAATTCCATTATCTGGAATTTTCTTTTGTGGTGTGCATTCTATAATAATCTTCACAATAATCTGGAGTAACCTCTGAATTAATGGGGAAAAAACTGTTACTATGTTCAGATTAACTTTAATGCCCATCATGTTTTCCAGAATGCCAATGCTTTACAAACGTTTTAAAGAATTATTAATTAAAACACTGACTATCTGATGACTCAAGACACTGCATACCTCAACTAATAACTAATAGGAATTAAGAACTTATAACAGGAAAATTAGAATTTTAAATATTTATTCATTATTATCTATTCATAGTGGTTATGAATATATAAATATTAACACACATACTTATATTTATTAATAAACAATAAAAATAAACATAATTATATCATCTGTTATATACATATATTATACATATTATTATATATTAATATAATAAATATATTTATTATAGAGGTTTTCAGAAATAAAGTCTAAAATCCTAACCACCTAGAGGTTTGGCAGAATTAAACATCCTGATAAAGACCTTATCTTAAAGGTTTAAAACATAAACAAGTGAAAAAGGCACACCTCCTTTCTAACAAATTTCCTTTATTTCTGTCCATATTTTATCCTTAGTACATTTTTCCCACTCTAGCTGCTCATGTAATTCTCAAGGAAGCAGCTGCTAACAACAAAAAATAAAGTAATGGTCATCAGGAAAATGTATTTGGGGGTTGACAAAACAGTTTAATTATGAACCACCTACGCCTGATCATTCAAGTATTACTTGAAAGACCTGGAACTCCATTAAAAACTTATAGGAACTTCCATATTCAGAGCTTAACTGTGCCCAATATGAGAATAATCATATGGAGAGAAACAATGGGTATAAATAACATAAGAGTAGAAAACTATTTTTCCTAAGTTTCTATTCTTAAAACTTGTTTTTGTTCTTTTTTCTTAAATCTTTAGCATATGAAATATCTTCTATTACCAAAGGGCTTTAAAAAGCCCCAAGTACTGCATGCCATAATACTATACAGGTCACTGGCACAAGTCACATTTATTAGAAAGATTTTCTAAAAACACTGATGAATCCACCAGAACCTCATTATAAACCTGTTTGTCATAGAGTAAAACTTGGTAGTTGCACTTACAAAGGATACCGTCTAACCTCTGAATTTCTTCCTTTCTCCCTTCCTCCCTCTTAAAGTTATTATATACAGAACATGTCCCCTATAAAATGTACATGTACCTTTTTTTTTGAAAAACATACATGTACACTTTTAAAATGTGTAATGTGGTGAACATTTTCTCAATTACAGAACTCAATTACAGAATATACTAAATCAGTTGGGACAGTAACTCACTGCTTCAAAATAACCTAATTACAGCACTCAAGAGTTTTTTTTTTAATATCTAATACAAAGTTATATGTTTTTTGGGGATTCTTTTGCCAATATGTGTTTGGGGAGACAGTTTTAACAATTTAATATAACTCCAGTATATTACAGTCACTGCACAATAAACCAGTTTATTACAGACTGAAATTTTTTTCATTATCGATGGAATGCAAACAAAATACTGGGTACTTTTAAATGGCAGATAACCACAAGATTATCTTTGATAGTATACTGGGTTTTAGAATAACATTAGGATATGAATGGTGTAAAATGCTGTTGTAAATAATACATCCCAAAACAATGAGGCCGTACTATGATGATTCACTATACTGTGTGCGCATTTATTAAATAAGTGAATTTTATCGATTTTTCTTCCCAATTACGCAGTACAATTTTGTCCACAATAAGGGCTTGGTAAATAAATGTTTGCTGAATATACTGACTGGGATAGAGGGAAGAGATGGATCTTCTCAGATGGATGTCAAGTATTATAACTGGAATTTACCTGGGAAAGAGAATGTTTAAGGAAGACATAAACTACATATGGCATACAAATAAATGATCTCACATTTCCACAAAACCACTGAGCAGAAGACACTGCCACTGGAATAAACAAGGCAGGATTTGCCAACAGCGAAAATGGAACTGGCTTTGAGAGATAACCAAGATGTTTATATTAGACCATACCTTTTCTCACCCAATTCAGTTTGAGGCAGACCAACATATGTTTTACTTTTCTAAAAACCTGAATGCTTTTAGGAGTGATAAGGACTGTTTAAATTTCTCACTCTCTGTTATTACACTTCCAGTATCACTCATTTATGTCTCCTAAGATTGCATCTGAGTTTGCAATTTGTATCAAAAAGCAGAAAGATCTCACTAAAATATGAGATTGTAGTACTGAAGCCAAAAACCTATATGAAGGGACTAGGCATGCCCATGGACTGTGGCACAACATAAACAGAAATTCCTATAGGGGCAATCTGGCAAAACAAACTGAAATTAAAATTGCCATGGCTATTTCATCTAAACAGGTAACTAAAGAGCACAACGATGAACAAACAACACTGATCATTACATTACTTATAAAAATCAAGAAAAAGTAGGTAACTTTAATATCAAGAGAGGACTGATTTAATTAAGTATGTCACATTTAGTGGATGGATTGTTACTTAGGGATTGTTGGGTTTATCCATTTATGTGTTATTTATCTCTAGCATATAGTATATAATATACATAGGCACTATATATAGTGTCCACTTACATGCCAGATAATCTTCTAGGGAGTTGAGATATAACAGTAAAAAAATTCAAACTTAAAAATGTATTGTGGGAGAAAAATAAAAATACAAAGGTAATATATTAGTGTATACTATAAGGGGATAAATGCTCTAGTAGCAGTGGAAGTGGATTTTAGAAAAGATTTTAATGACAGAGTCACAGATTCTCCTGATACAAGTTATAGAATATGAGAAAAAGAAGAGTTAAGAATGACTGCAAGGTATTTGACCTGAATGATAAAGGATGGATTTTTTTATCAACTGAGATAGAGAAAACTGTGAGTAGAGCAGATTTATGGGAGGATATTAGCAGTATAGGTACAGATATCTAAGTTTGAAAAAAATCAGTTCATATCCCAGGGGAGATGTCAAATAGGCAGTGGAGTATGTATGCAGGTCTGGAGTGGAGGTCAGAGGTCTGGGCCACAGATAAAAGTGCAAAGTTGTCAGCATGAAGTCATAAGTGCACATATATGTATGTAGAGATCTGGAAGAATATTTGTCAAGATTTGATGGTGCTTATCTACGGGTGGTTTGGTTTTAGAAGAATTTTGATCTATCTCTATACATTTCTATACCCACACATGAACTTCTGTAGTGAATATGTGTTACCTTTGTCGACATCAAGAAAGCAAGTTAAAATACAGAAATAAAACTAGTAACACTTTGTCTTAATTTATTATTGTCTTTTGAAGTTCCCTAGGGACCTATCTAATATCCCATTATTTATCTTAGCTCCTTGATAACTAGCTTGAACCTCAGTGTCCTCATTCATAAAATTAGGGAGGTGAACTATACAGTAGATTGCCAAACTGAGTTTATACCAGAATCTAACAGAATGGTTTAAAAAAACAAATACGAGTCCCAGTCAAACATACAAATGATCTATATTTTAACATTAGAAAATACACATATAAAATGGAAACCAATGAAAATTCATAGAACCTAAGAATGTTTTCCATACTGCTGGGTTGTAAAGTGCAATGGTTTCTACCACTGTAAAATAATCCTTATAGCAGAATTTACCATTAAACAGAATCCCAGAAATTAAATACTTGTTCTAAATATCAAATGTTTATTATAAGTGGATTCATTTCCTTGTTACTGTTTACAAAATGATGTATAATGTTTGAATGTATGTGTTCACAAATATATAAAGAAATTAGTAACTCATACCAAAACACTGCTTTTCTCTTTGTTACTTAAAGTGGCTCCAGGAGGAAAATAGGCAGTAGTACTTGTTGTAATATCCAAACTTTTACAAAGGTTGTCCTGGGTGGCACAGTCCATCCATCCTACATTAACAAGACCATCCTATAGTGGAAAGAAACAACAACAACAAAAAAAACAGGTCACGTGTTAAGTAAAAGAGAAAGTTAAAGGAATTTAGTTTTATTTAGAAAACCCCAACTTTTCTACTGTAAATTTAAAATTTTTTAAGAAAGTTTACTCAAATAATAAATGACCAGATTTGAATTACATGATTAATAAAGTTGGTCTAATAGATATAAAAATTCTACCTAACATACATAGAAAACATATTTTTGAGCACACATAGATCCTTCACAATTTTCCTAACTGATAAACTTCCAGGCAGCAAAGGGAGCTCCTACAGTGTTAAAGTATCAACAACATACAGATTACATTCCCAACCATAATGTGATGAGAGCTAAGTATACAACAAAATAACAATATAGCAAAAACAGTAAGAAATAAAGTTTGGAGGGACACAAACACTTATATACACCTCTTTGATTAAATAGAAGTGAATGACAATGAAAGCACCACATGTCAAAATTCTAATTAGGAAGAAAAGTTTTATAGCTATGAATACATTTATCAAAAAACAAAATTTACAAATAAGTGTTTAAGGAACTATGAAGAAATATTTAGAATCAATTCTCAAATGTCTTTAATACGGTGATACAGTTTTACAAAATAACTGATGCTTACCAACATGCCACTGAGCCTGAGTTGTGTCTGTGAAGTCAAACAATCTAGCGAGGAAAAAAATTGTAACACAATTTTAGCTTTATTAAGTCTGTACTTTATTTTGCCTTTCACCCCAAACTAACACAGTGATTCTAGGGCAACTGACTGGACTCCACTGGTAAATGTCCATACATGCTGACACACACGCACACATGTGTGCACACATTTTCCCATTCTCTCCCTAGTTTCCCAGGATTTCCAGCTAAAGGTAATCTCTTTACAATGATCCTCTTAAATCTCTGCTCCTATCAACAATCCCCTTGATCTAAGTAATCTCATGATTTTGGAGAAATAAAATGTAATGGCTCTATTTGATAAAAATATATAAAGAACCTTTAAATTTAAAATACAACAGTCTTTTACTTAATTTTAATTCCAGTAGTTAACATACAGTGTTAGTTTCAGGTGTACAATATAGGGATTCAACAATTCTATACATTACAGTGCTCTTCACGGCAAGTGTATTCTTTAATCTCCATTACTTTATTCACCCATCTCCACACCCACCTCCCCTCTGGTAACCACTAGTTTGTTCTCTATACTTCAGAGTCTATTTCTTGGTTTGTCTCTTTTTTCCTCTTTCTTAAATTCCATGTGTGAAATCATATGGTATTTGTCTTTTTTTCACTGACTTATTTCACTTAGGATTATAGTCTCTAAATCCACCCATGCTGTTGCCAATGACAAGATTTCATTTTTTTTTTTTTTTAGGCTGAATATTCCATTATATACCATAATTCCACTTCTTTATCCATTCATCTATTGATGGACACTTGGGCTTGGGCTGCTTCCATAATTTGGATATTATAATTAATGCTGCAATCAACACAGGGAGATATGTATCTTTTTCAACTAGTGTTTTCATATTCTTTGGGTAATTACCCAGGAGAGGAATTACTGGATCATATGATAGCTCTATTTTCAATTTTTTGAGGAACCTCCATATTGCCACAGTGACTGCATCAGTTTGCATTCCCACCAAAAAGCGCACAATGGTTCCTTTTTCACCACATCCTCATCCACACTTGTTGTTTCCTGTTTTTGATTTTAGTCATTCTGATAGGTGTGAGGTGTGAGATGCTCAACATAACTCATCATCCTTCCATGTGTGTTGGTCATCTGTGTGTCTTCTTTGGTGAAATGTCGATTCATGTCTCCTCCCCATTTGCAAACTGGATTATTTGTGTGTTTGTTGAGCTACATATGTTCTTTAATATTTTCTTCTCCTTTTAGTCTTTTAGTTTTGTTGTTTCCTTTGCTGGGCAGGTTTTTATTTTGATGTAATCCCAATAGTTTACTTTTGCTTTTGTTTTCCTTGCCTCAGGAGGCATGTCTAGAAAAATGTTGTGGCTGATAGAGAAATTACTGCCTGTGCTCTCTTTTAGAATTTTTATGGTTTCAGGTCTTACTTTTAGGCCTTACTTCATTTTATTTTTGTTAATGGTGTAAGAAAGTGGTCCAATTTTCCCAACAGTATTTGTTGAAAGGACTTTTTTCCCACTACATATTCTTCCTCTTTTGTAGATTAATTAACCACAAAAGCACGGCTTTATTTTTGGACTCTCTATCCTTTTCTCTTGATCTATGTGTCTATTTTTGTGCTAGTAGCATACTGTTTTGATTACTATAGGTTTGTAGGAAATCTTGCAATCTGGGATTGTTATACCTCCAGTTTTGTTCTTTTTCAAGGTTGCTTTGCTATATGGGATTTTTGCAGCTCTAAACAAATTTTAGGATTACTTGTTCTATTTCTGCAAAAAATGCTGTTGGTATTTTGATAGGGTTTGTAGTAAATCTACAGATTGGATTTGGATAGCATGGAGATTTTTAACAATATTTGTTCTTCCAATCCATGAGCATGGAATGGTATCCTTCCATTTGTTTGTATTGTCTTCAGTTTCTTTCATCATGTTCTATAGTTCCATAGTACACATCTTTTACCTTTTTGGTTAAGTTTATTCTTAAGTATTTCACTACTCTTGGTGCAATTCTAAATAGGATGATTTTCTTAATTTTTCTTTCTGCTGCTTCATTATTAGGGTATAGAAATGCAACAGGTTTCTGTATATTGATTTTGCACCCTGCAACTTTACTGAATTAATTTATCAGTGCTAATAGTTTTCAGTGGAGTCTTTAGGGTTTCCTATATTGAGTATCATGTTACTTGCAAATAGTGACTATTTACTGATTACTATTACTATTTACTATTTACTGATCTAGATGCCTTTTCTTTTTCTTGTCTGACTACTGTGGCTAGGACTTCCAGTACTAGGACTTCCAGTACTACACTGAATAAAGTGGTGAGAGTGGACATTCTTGTCTTGGCCCTGATCTTAGGAGAAAAGCTTTTAGTTTGTCACCACTGAGTATCATGTTAGCTGTAGATTAGTATACAGCCTTTATTATGTTGAGGTATGTTCCTTCTAAACCTACTTTGTTCATGAATGAATGCTGTACTTTGTCAAATGCTTTTTCTGCATCTACTGAAACGATCATATGGTTTTTATATTTTCTTTTGTTGATATAAAGTATCACATTGATTGATTTGCTAATGTTGAACCATCCTTGCGTCCCAGAATTCAATCCCACTTCATTATGGTAAATAAATTTTTAATGTATTGTTAGAGATTTTTGTATCTATGTATCTATGTTCATCAGAGATATTAGCCTATAGTTGTTTTTTTTTTTGGTAGCATCTTCTGGTTTTGGTATCAGGGTAATGTTGGCCTCCGAGAATGAATACGGAAGCTTTCCTTCATAAAATACAATATAGTTTTAAAATAACTTCATCATTTTCATGAAAATGCTAGGATACAATGAGACATATTTAGAAGCAAGGGAACTGTAGCACCATAGAGCTTTTAAAGATATGTAAAAACAATCTACCTGGGGTAAAAAGTAAAAAAAAGTCAGAAAGTTTAAAGTTTTCTTAATGTGTGGAAAGAACAGAAATCTGTGCATTAGATCAAAATGAAACAAAATCCCTCAATGATAGCCTAATTTAAGGGTTATTTTTGCTTGAAGGCAATACCTTCCTAAGATGGGCCTTACAGGATAGGGGTGAGCAGTTGATTTTAGCTGAAGGCAATTTGTTCTCAATACAGTAGCATGAAGCTGATAGGTAAAGTCTGGGTTAAAGACCCATGTTGGAATTAAACATATGAAAATGTATTAATGAATTGGGGTATTCTGTAATAATGGGGCTGATTTTTAACCAATCTCATTGTTTGAATAGAGTTTAATAGTTTGTGGTTTGGTACCCAGAGTACTGAATTTTCTAACTAATTTACTGGTAAAAAGTTTCCTAGAAATGGAAAATTGTCATCTTCAAATATTTTATAAGGCAACATGCATACATTTTTGATATGTTAAGTATGAGACAAAGTCCATAATACCAAAAAATTATTATTTTGGGAGGGTTACATCTGTCAACAACTAATTATTTTTGCAAACTGCCAAATATATCTGTAGTTATCTGAATGTACTATTTATAATGAGAATAATTAAGTTGAAAAACTGGTCCACCAAACAAAATCATAAATGAAATAAATGAAATCTTAACAAATTAGTAATCTATAACTTATGTGTAAATTAACAAATAATGTAAGTATTCATTAAATGAAAAATTGTAACTGGATATGAACTGTAACTTGAAGTACTGAATAATCAATTATAGTAGCATACTTAAGACTGACAGCTAGTCAAAAGGTACAAACTCCGTGTTATAAGATTAACAGGTTCTGGGAATGTGATGTACAGCATGGTGATAATAACTGATATTACTGTATCATACACTTGAAAACTGCTAAGAGAGTAGATTTTAAATATTCTTACCATGAAAAAGAAATGGTATTTATGGGACAGAAATGCAGTGTTAGCTAATGCTATGGTGGTAATCATTTTGCAATATGTAAGTGTATCAACAGGTTGTATACCATGAAGGTACATTATGTTATATGACAACTTTATCTCAATTAAAAAAAATAAAAATTAAATATCTTGGTTTCTTCATCATTACAAAATAACAAATAAAATTACCTCCTCCTTTGGAACAAAAAGTGATCAGCCAGCCAACACCAGCAGCAAAAGCAGTTTGTATGGAGTTAACAAAATTCCCTTGAAAGAAAATTAAGTAAATTTCTGATTATCTACTACTGGAATTCAGGAATTCATAAAAATCCTCTTGAAGCATATCAAATTCCTACATTGACTTTCCATTGTTTTCATCATCTAAAATCTTAATTCATTATTTCATTGAGAAATTGGTAACTAAAACTGATAACTAAGGCCCCTGTGATCTGAGCTTTGTCTACCCATTCAGCTAGCTGTGTTTTTCCTCCTACTATTCCACCTGCTGCCCATCTTTTTGTTAGATTTATGGCAAAGTAATGCCAGTTTCTAAAGTTCACAGTGCTCTTTGAAGGCTTCCTCTTCATTTTCATGACAGATTGGGTCTGACTTTATTCAAGAAGTATCTTCTAATCCTTCCAGTTTTCCTCATCTGAGTTCTTTTATATCCTTCATGTTTCCCTAAGACTGCCTCTACCATAATAGTTACTACATTGCATTAATGGTTTACTAATGCCTTCCTTGCTAAAACAATGAGGCACTTGAAAGAAGGATTACATATTACTGCAGCCCTAATATTTAACACAGTTCCAGAGACATTACTTGTATTCAGTCAATGATGTGAACATCTTACTAGATATGAATACTATCATTTCATGGGTATCACAGAGCATAACCCACCTAAAGTCACTTGATGAATTAAAAGTCTAAGATTAGAGGAAAGAGTTTTTAAACTTTAAAATTACACTGGATCAGGAATTGACTGCCTGATAAGGTACACTTATGAAAGCAGTAAAACGCTTGGTTAACTAAACATTGTACTCTGAAAGCTGACATTACACCTAGCATCACACTGTATTCATTTCCCACATCTTAACTGCTTTAGTTTCTATACAAATCTGATTCACTTGTTAAATACCAACTATTTAGCAGAGGTCAGAAAAATGACAAAATTCCCTTCTTTTTTAAAAGCATGGAAAAGATAGCTTAAAAATTTCAATATTATGACTAACGTGTTAACACTATTACTGAAAAAAAATTAAAATACCAAAATCAAAGTATCCTTGAAAATCAAAGAAATGAAAATAAAATTACCTGTCCATAATTCTGTCACGGTGCTTCTAACATGCTGCATGGCAAAACTCACTAAACTTTCCTTTGATCTGTCACCATGATATTTCACTGCAGCCTTTTTTTTTTTTATAAAAAGAAAAACATCTTTTATTGTTTCTTTTAAAAACTCAGTAGGAATAATACCAAATGCTTTCAACTTTACCTTCTTTTGAATACAATAAGATTTCTCTCTCAATTCTACTTCCAAACGATATACTGCAGATCTTGATTGTGTAGATTCCACAAAAGACATTTTAACAACACTATTTATAATAGTTTTCTAGTTTGTTTTTTCATTAGAAAAAGAAGGAGCTACCAGAACTTTATATTCAATGAGACAATACAGGTAAAATATTTTGTGAACTATAAAATATAATATGCATAATGGTTCAGTTAAGACAGAAACCAATGGTAAACATTTAATTTTGAAATAAAGAAAGGTCAAAGTAATGGCATTTAAATTATTCACAATATAATCCAAAATGTTTATTATGACTAGAGTCTAGTTAGATGGCACCTAAAATCATATTTAAAAATCAAAACATTCTACAAATCATGTACTGTGTTCTCACTAGTATTTTCCTTGTCATAAAGTTCCAAATTTAAAAAATGCCAACTTTACCCCTTACCATTCCAGACCTAAAAATGAAGAGGCTGGGATAACTGTTGACTCCCTTCATTCGGCAAAGCATTCTATCATCACCACAGTTAACAGCACCAATTCGAAGTAATCCATCCACTTCTTTAGCAAAGTCTCTCCACTAGTAAGAAAAAAGAATAAGTATTTCCCTGATAAGGTAATTTTTCTTTCCTTGAACACTCGTCAAGCTACGCATTCTTAAAGGAGAGTATTTTTATCAAATAAAACCATACATATATGAAAGTATTTGATAATTGATAGTTATCATTATTATTAGTAGAAAAAGTCCTAATATATTAAAAAAAAACACTCGACAGATCAGAATAAAATTTTAACAATCAAGATGTAAAAAAATACATACTGTGGGAGCTAAATCATGGCAGTGTGAACATCCTGGGGAGTAAAAGTTCACAAACCAAAGTTCTCCAGAATTAACAGCAGCATCTAAAGCATATAAAACCAAAAAAACTTAGAATTATTTGCTAAAGGTTTGTGCATATTTTAGTTAAAATTCTGTTGTAGTCATACATTTTCCATACTACCTTTGTTATTTTCTGTGCAAGTTTTTCTATAAAAAGAGAACATGTTACAGTTGACCCTTGAACAACATGGGCTTGGATTTTTTTCTGATACAGTAATGTACATGTATTTTCTCTTCCTTATGATTTTAATAATTTTTCCTCCAGTTTACTATTAAGAATAACAGTATATAACATATATACAAAACATGTGTTAATCAACCGTTATGTTACTACAAGGCTTCTAGTCAACAGAAGGCTATTAGTAGTTATGTTTGGGAAAGTCAACTGGGTGGGAGGCCAGTGCCCCAACCCCTGCACTGTTCAACGGTCAACTGTGTATCAACTGTCAAACTAACAATATTGCAAAAAAACCTCCTTTGGGCACATACTCGACTAAAGAGCAACCCTAAGCTGCAAGACACACTTGTCACCATGAAGCTCTGAGAAGATGTGGCATTTAAGGAATCAGCAGCCAAACCTCATACAGAAGTTTGTGTGGATAAAAGAAATAAATGAAGAGGAGAAACAGTGAGAGAGCTGGAAATTTAAGTTCATCTACTAACTGCAGAACAGGTTAAATACCTGGGTCAATCAGTTCTGACAGCTACTTCAAATTTTCAAAGAATGAAATAAGACAACTACACAATACAGTAAGGACTGTGGAGATTAAATTTAATCTTTGTCCTTAAATAAGTCATTTACCTAAACTTTTATTAGAAAAACATTAGATCAAGGTTTTTAACAGTTTAAAACACAAATACATATTTGCTAATATAATGGATCTGAATATCACATGATATCTAGCCAATAATCTATTATGCATTATAATCTATAAAATGACCAGATGTAAACTCTTAAGAAGAGAACATAGACAGTAAATTTCTTTGACCCCAGCAGTAACAACATTGTTTTAGAAATGTCTCCTAAAGCAAGGGAAACAAAAGCAAAAATAAACTATTGGGATTACATCAGAATAAAGCTTTTGCACAGCAAAGAAAACCATCAACAAAAAAAGGAACCTCCTAAATCAGAGAAGATAAATACATAAGAAGTTTATACAATCCAATACCAAAAACCCCACATAATCTGATTAAAACTGTGCAGGGCATTGTATATTTTTCCAAAGAAGATATACAGATATATGTAAAAGATGCTTAACATCACTAAACATCAGAGAAAAGCAAATCATAACCACTATGAGATATCACTTTACATCTGTCAGAATAGCTAGAATCAAGAAGAAATAACAATAACTGGCAAGGATGTACAGAGAATGGGACACTTGTGCACTGTGGATGAGAGTGTAAATTGTTATGGGGAGGTTCCTCAAAAAACTAAATATAGAACTAACATATGATCCAATAATTTCACTCGGTATTTACCTAGAAAAAAACAAAAAACTAAGTTGAAAGATAATATGCACCTTTGTGTTTACTGCAGCATTATTTATAATAGCCAAGATACGGAAGCAGCCCAAGTGTCCACTGACAGATTAATAGATTAAAAATGTGGTATATATACAATGGAATACTAGCCATAAAAAGGATGAGATCCTGCCATTTGTGACAATAAAGATGGACCTACAAGGTTATTATGCTAAGTGAAATAAGTCAAAGAAAAACAAACACCATATGATTTCACTTATATGTGAAACCTAAAAAACAGAACAGATGAATAAGTAAACAAAAAGTAGAATCAGACATATAAGTACAAACTGATGGTTCCCAGTGGGGAGGAATGTGTGGGGAAAGAGCAAAATGGTAAGGGAAGTGGGAGTTACCAGCTCCCAGTTATGGAATAAATAAGTTATGGGAATAAAAGATACAGAGAATACAGTCTGTGGTATTATAACATCATTGACAGTGACAGATGGCAGCTACTCTGGTGATGAACACAGCATATCTACAGAGCTGTTGAGTCACTATGTTGTACACCTGAAACTAATGTAACATAGTGTGTCAACTCTACTCAGTAAACAACTCAATGTTTACTTTCAATTTCAAGACACATGGATCTGTAGAGAGAAGTTAATCTGTATGTTACTGGTAAAGCATATAATTTAGGATTTTATCAGCTATTCCCTGGCAATGTTTAGAAAGTCTGACCAACAGATCATTCTATCTAAGTGGCTAAAATAATTGCTACATAAACTTGGACCACCAACTGGTAATAATTTAGGTAAAATTTTTTTATAAACTCAGTGAAGACTCTAACAGAAATAGGGTTATTTCATTAGCTATAAATAAGAAATGAGATGGGTATTTATATATAAAAAGATAAAGAAATGATTAGACAAAATAGGACTGATCATAAGTCTTAAATAAAAGTGTGACATATGACAAATCTGAATGGCATTTAAATTGAAACAAAACTGTTCACAGTGAAAAAATGTCCTTTTGGTACTTTGTTTTCACAGAGCACTTTTAACATATTTATACAGTTCCCACTGCTGCTGAGTAAAATTAAAAATATTCTTAATGCTCTGTTATTGACACTCAACGTTTTTACAAAACCCAGCAACACAGAATAAAACAAGTATATTTCAGAATGCAACTTTTAGCTTCTAAATTCTACAATTACAGTAATATCCACTGATATCCACACAACTATAGCTAACAACTTGTTAGCCTAGAAAAATGTAACAATAGGATGAGTCATAAACACGTGAGGTAACAGAGATCAAAGAGTTAAGAGCACGAGAAAACTAAATGTACAAGTGGTAACAGAGATCGAAGAGTTAAGAGCATAAATTACTGAGTAAGACAAAACTAAACGTAAAAGTATAGGGAATACAGTCAATAAGACAATTGATGAGTAACTCTAATGCTAACAGGTTCATTTCATTTAAGAAAAAAAGAGCAGCAAAAGCATGGGCTTTAAGATGAACCAGAGTTGAGTGTATGCCCTGTCTCTGGTACTGTGTCAGTCAGGAAAGGTTATGCTATAGTAAATAAGTGATTCCAATTATGTCATGGGCTGACAATAAAGGTTTATTTCTATCATCTATTACATGTCTATATTGAGTTGGCTGCAACTCTCCATATCATTTCACCACTGACCCCTGGCCAGTGGAGCAGACTCTATTTTCAACAACGCTATTTCTCCTGACAGAGCAAAATGGTGAACCACATGTTGGCTCTTAAATGCTTCTGCCCAGAAGTGACACACATTACTTCTGTTCACATTTCACTGGCCAAAGCAAGTCACATGGTCATGCCCGAGTTCTACAGAGTCGGATGTATAATTCTCCATCACAGAGGAGAAACTATCAACATGGATGAATATAGTAAAATATACCACAAATACCTAATAGCTGAACTTAGGCATGTAATTTTTTTCCCCTCAAATGCAGTTTGTAATTTCTGGGGAAAAAAACCCCTAGTATCAATATTGATGTTTGTTGTGAAGATTAGGTATGTTAAATATTAATTGCCTGGAATAGGAACTGATGCTCACAAATTAAAGCAATGTTTTATTATTCTCTTCCACTTACCTACAAAACATTCTTATAATATGACCACTTATTATTTGAAAGAACTTTGTCGTAATAACTCACAAAGAGGCAGCACAGGACTTGCTGGCAGATAGCACAGTTGTGAAATCAACAGCTCCATGAAACTGCACATTAAAAAATTTTTTGCTGGGACGCCTGGGTGGCTCAGATGGTTAAGCGGCTGCCTTCGGCTCAGGTCATGATCCCAGGGGTCCTGGGATCGAGTCCCACATCAGGCTCCTTGCTCGGCGGGGAGCCTGCTTCTCCCTCTGCCTCTGCCTGCCTCTCTGTCTGCCTGTGCTCACTCGCTCTCTCTCCCTCTGTCCCTGACAAATAAATAAAATCTTTAAAAAAAAAAAATTTTTTTTTTTGCTACGATTTTTGTCCCTCAGAATGAAGCCTGTTAAGAGGATGTTTATTTATTCATTGATTCATTTTAGTTATTGAGAAATAACTCATTCCCTGATGTGACTATTATGGAAAAAAATTAGAAAATTTAGGGTATTAAAGGAAGTTTGTGTTATTATTCCCAATGGTAGAATTTCATCTTTCTTGCCCCAAGGAAAAGGGTTTCAAAAAAAGTCTTATCAATGGGAAGCAATCCAGCATAGCTCCTATTCCTGAGATTTCCCAAAACCTTACTAAGGATCCAGTTATTGCACACTCCTGCAAACATGGCCCAGAATGTTGAGAAGTTCACCCTATGCAGGCTGTGCTTTGTATCATTTCAACACTGAATGGGTTTTGTTAGATGCCTTTACATCTTGTATTAACCAGATATGTCTGCTTCATAATTACAAGAATTACAATTCATAATCGTTAATTGAAATTAACAATAACTACTCTCCAAAAGAAGAGTTTTCTGACAAATAATTGAACAAAATCCTAGATTTCACTTTGTTAGATGATGGGGATTTAAGAAAAAAGAAAAAAAAAAAAGAGGCAGAGGTGCTGTGAGCTCCTTCACAATTTCTTGAGTTTGTCTTCAAAAGAATGCCTGTATTATGTAAGTACTATTCAGGATGACTAGTAAAAGTGAGATGTCCTCTGCTTTTGCAGATACTGTCTAGAATTTGCTTATAATGACTAATAATCTACTTTTCTGTGACACATAAAAAGACAGTATGAACCATACTTAGTAGGAAGGATGAGAACCTTAAGTGGAGTTTACTAATCAGATTTTCTCTTCTGTACTATAAACACTCTAGAGTTCAGTACTGATAAAAGTGAACTATGCAATTAGCACTAACTCTCCCACAACAACTGCAAAATTGGACAAAATATAAGACTTCTGCTGAAAGCATCAGACATTTACCAATACAGTGAAGAACTAGAGGGCCAAAGCATGGAAGGAGGTGGAAATCACAACGCCAGCGTTTTCAAGAAAAGGTAGTTGATTGGCAAGAAAGTGAGCAGAACTAATATATTCA